AAAGAATACACAGTTTCAGTGTGGACATCACGTTGCGGGACACCCTGTATACAGGGTGGGGCATTTATATTGAGACACCTAAATATCTAAAAAATAAAGCAAGATAGAAAGAAATGTTTCAGACAAAAGTTGTTCGGTTCTAAGCGGGACACATTATGAAAATATGGACTTGACCTTGAATGACCTTTTCAAGGCCAAGTCAAAGTGATCGATGTTTTCTTAAATGGAAACCCCCATTTTTTATTGCATATTCTTGTAGCTTATCTCGAGAGCTTTTCAAAACACTATAATAAAATATCTTTTCATTAAGTACTTTTTGAGTTATTCTATACAGGGTGTCCCGCAACGTGATGTCCACACTGAAACTGTGTATTCTTTGTGTCATTCTAAGTCAAAAAGTCTTAATACACATATGCCCTAAAGTCGCTTGTTTCGTTAGTTATAACGAAAAAATGTAAAAGTAGTTATTTCTCACACTAATGCGAGAAAAGCACCTTTATGACTTACCTTACCGCACTAGTAGTGCGGAAATAACAGGCATTACAAAAAATATTGTGTGTATGGCATGTGCCCGGAAGTGGAGCCCCCCCGGAACACACTGTTTTATGCATACACTTTTTAATGCGAAAGGAGGTTCCACATTGAATGTGGAGAAATCAGTTATACACAAAATGATTCGATTAAATTTCACGAATATTGGTAAATATGCATATTAGCGCCAACCTCACCAATTTCAATGACCTTGCTATATGTTGTCAAAGACATGACTCTAAGTAAATTGCAAAAATTTTTAGCCGTCGCTCGTTGTTTATTACAAAGTTATTAACAATCGAAGATAGTGACCGACCGAAGTGAGGTTCCACATGGGATTACAACTTTCCACGCGAAGCGAAGTTCAACGCAAACCTATGTGTCTAGTTTTTTGATAGTGGAGCCCCCCCACAGGGGGGGTGGAACATACTGCCTCCACGCATATACTTTTTAATGAGAAGTGAAATTCCACATGAGTTTACAACTTTTTACGCAAAGCGAGATTTAACTCATGTACAACCCATGTAGAATCTCACTTTGCTTTAAAAAATGTATGTATGGACACAGTCGGTTCCGCCCCCTCTACTGGGGGGCTCCACTATCAAAGAACTAGACACATTGGTTTGCGTTGAACCTCGCTTCGCGTTGAAGGTTGTAAATACATGTCCCGCACCCAACCCGCCGGTAGGCAGGGTGGACCTCGCTTTACAATGTATCATGTACTTTATAAGTTGTGCGTGCGTGTGTGTGCGCGCGCGCGCGTGCTTCCTGTCCGTGCATGTACTTTGGTATATTTCAAACTTTTTTTGTTAATAACTCTCTTTTTAATAAGCAACGAGCGACGATTAAATTAGAAAAAAAAGTTACTCAGAATTATGTCCTTAACAACATATGTCAAGGTCAAGGTCATTGGGGCTGGGTGAAGGTCACTCAGGAAGGTGACCTTGACAACATATGTCAAGGTCAAGGTCATCGGGGCTGCGTCCCCTAAACGTCACTTTTACCCCAAAGTTAATATATAAAAGTTGATTTACATATATAAGTTTTTAGAAATACTACCGATCATATATTTTCTTTATTTCGTCATAACTTATTTCAATTTTTCTTTATATGTGCAGAATTTTGCTAAGGGTGAGAGAGGAGTACTTGTTACCTTTTTGATATTCCAATTCTTAGTCCTGCTAATACTGTACGCTCATTGCACTGTTGGTGAAAATCTTTTAACTGAGGTAATGTTATAAAAATAAAAAAAAACAATTAATAAAAGTACAATGTTAAAAAGAAGCGATTTTCCCCAATAACATATTTTTCCTAATTTGTTGTACAGCATTATCTTCTAAAATGGCACTGTGATTTGGTGCAAGTACACATTGGTTTGCGTTGAACCTCGCTTCGCGTGGAAAGTTGTAAACCCATGTGGATCCTCATTTCGCATTAAAAAGTGTATACATAAAACAGTGGGTTCTGCCCCCCTTACGGGGGGGCTCCACTTCCAGAAGAAATAACCAAACCCAAACCTATTTCTAATTTAATTTCTCTCTATCTTTAAAATATAAGCTAGGTAATTCATGCCGAAATATACTATATACAGTCTTATGTCGCAAGTATCGGTCGGCCACTATCTTCAATTTTTAATAACTTTGTAATAAACGACGAGCACCCCACGGGAAGGCTGCACTTCCGGAAAATATAACTTAACCCAAACCTTTCAGTTTTAAAAGTAAAGTTGGATTATTTTTTATTGTCAGACTACGTACAAACCTTGATTTTCACAAATCTTTGTTTGTTAATAATTTTTTAATAAACAACGAGCGACGGCTAAAACCTTCTTACCGATCATATATTTTCTTTATTTCGTCATAACTTATTTCAATTTTTCTTTATATGTGCAGAATTTTGCTAAGGGTGAGAGAGGAGTACTTGTTACCTTTTTGATATTCCAATTCTTAGTCCTGCTAATACTGTACGCTCATTGCACTGTTGGTGAAAATCTTTTAACTGAGGTAATGTTATAAAAATAAAAAAAAACAATTAATAAAAGTACAATGTTAAAAAGAAGCGATTTTCCCCAATAACATATTTTTCCTAATTTGTTGTACAGCATTATCTTCTAAAATGGCACTGTGATTTGGTGCAAGTATTGTAATTTCAGATCTCTTAACAATTTTCTTCGGATTTGTAAAGTCTCTAATCATTTTTTTATCATTATTAACATGTTTTCTTTGAATTCCAAATTTCTTTCATTTCTTTTGGAGACAAAAAAATCGTTCTTTTCTAACGTTGTTCTTGTATATTAACAATATAAATCATTTTGAATGTTTTACATCATAAGAGAGTATATCTTTATACAAAATATTTTTTATAATAAATAAATATATATTGTGTAAATATATTTAAAAAAAAATCTAATCATAAATAAATATGTTTAAGTCGCAGGCATTAGGCACAGGTATTATACAGGGTGAGGAAAAAGTCCCGGACTCTTGAAATATTTCGGAAGGAGTGAGATGTCGAAAAAAATGTTTTAGACAAAAGTTATATGGTTTCGAGGGGGCCACATGATAAAAATATGGACTTGACCTTGAGTGACCTTTTTAAGGTGAAGTCAATGTGATCGATGTTTTCTTAAATGAAACTCCTGAGTGAGTTAAGAGAAATGGCTGAGCAGAGCGCGAGTGAAGAGCGAAAGCGGAGCAGTGCGTGATTTACGGAGCGATTGCGTGTTAGAATATTTTCAAGAGTGGTATTAGTTAGAGAGTCAATGTGATCGATGTTTTCTTAAATGAAACTCCTTATTTTTTATTACATATTCTTGTAGCTTATCTCGAGAGCTTTTGGGTCCCCTATTAGCTATATTTATCCAATAAATAATTAATTCAACATACTTATGTTTTATTTTGGAACACCCTATATATGTAAAAACTTGTGTTTATTTCAGTTTATATGTGTAGTATACGTAGGACTATTTCTGTAAATTAACTTAAATATCCAGTTTTTCATTGTCAGACTATGTATAAATCTTAATTTTTAAAAATTTTTGTTTGTTAATAACTGTTTAATAAGCAACGAGCGACGATTAAATTAGAAGAAAAAGTGGTAAATGTTCAGATTAACTTACACCTCACGGATCGTTCTCATTTTTACATATATTATAGAGGGCACGTTCCTAAGTAACACGCACTTTGAATTTTGTGGCGCTCTCTTCTGGTTTCAGAGATATGCGATTTTGAAGTATCATAATTTTCGCATTTATTTCTATGATCTTTTCACTATATCTTACTTGCATGTTTATGTTTTTTTGTTTACATTTGCGTCACTGTCAGTATATTTTATGTATAAATCTTGATTTTTACAAATTTTTGTTTGTTAATAACTTTTTAATAAGCAACGAGCGACGATTAAATTAGAAGAGAAAGTTACTCAGAATTATGTCCTTGATAACATATGTCAAAGTCAAGGTCATTGGGGCTGGATCCCCTATTCGCTATATTTACCAAAAATATTTTATTATAGTGTTTTGGAAAGCTCTCGAGATAAGCTATAAGAATATGCAATAAAAAATTTGGGGTTCCATTTAAGAAAACATCGATCACATTGACCTCACCTTAAAAAGGTCACTCAAGGTCAAGTCCATATTTTTATCATGTGGCCCCCTCGAAACCATACAATTTTTGTCTGAAATATTTTTTTCTACATCTGACTCCTTCCAAGATATTTTAAGGGTCCGGGACTTTTTATAGTATAAACTATACAATATTTAAAATACACCACTCGTAGAATTTTTACATACTATCTCAATGGAAACTAATTTCAATCTTTATTTAACCTAATTGCCAATTCTCTACGATCAAAGAGAATCAGACTAAAAGTTAGAACAAATTCTCGCTGTTGAAAGTAAATTTTAAAATAATACGAGTGAATGCAATTTATAAATTAACTTTATATTATAAAATTAATTTCTTAAGGAAAACTTTTTAAATAACTAAATGTTAATTTAAATAAATCTAATTTAACAAATGCTGTTCTGCAATATTTATTGTATAATTTTTAAATAAAAATTATAAAAAAAATGTTATTTTTAATACACTTTATAATGTGTAAACAGATTAAAGTGAGTTCGGCTATTCTATTTTACCGATCAAAGCGATTATTTTTTCCTGCATCTGAATCTTTTTGCTAGTTGTACAAAATTATAAATCCTTTTCCATAATTAAAATATATGCACATAGCAACGAATTCGGTTTGTACATTCTGCGAGTCTCAATCAAGCAGCGCGAAATATAAAGACTCAAAATTGATGCCTCGCCATTTTTAACACTTCCATCGGCTGAGTGATTCACAATCCAATCTCTGATTTGGAGTCATAGCAAAGGCGGCGAAACGTTTCTTTATTTAAAATCTTTATAATATTGGTTGGTCGATCCGAAGACGACTAATACTTAATTTCGAATTGGCCATTTTTCTATGTTTTGCAAATAAAATGAAATCTTACTTCTATGTGTTTATACTCCGTCCAGCGAAAAAATAACCACGGATTGGACGAAAACTCGTCCATTTCGGGCAGGTCTTCCCCCACAGAACGCCTATAAAGCCCCCAACACATCGCCGTATTGCTCGTGCAGCTTGCCAGTGCTAGCAACGAGTGACAGGTCCCTCCGACCATTTGGCATACTGACCATTGCAGTTATTTATCCTCAAAATAACCTTCGAACAGTTGTTTCAGTAGTAACGATTATTTTTAGTGTTTTTCTGCCAAAAAAGTATTCACAAAGTGCGATGGAAGAATTAGATATTGAAGTGCCGCTAATGTCATCTCCTGTGAAGAAAAATAAACGAGGCCAGGTAAACAATGATGAATAAAAATTATTAATCTGTTTGTAGCCCCAGAGAAAAACATGAAATCGAATAGATGTATAGTTGACGTTTATTCAACACGTCTAAGATAGGTCGACTTTCGCATCTAGATGGCCTCTTTTAGACGTTTAATAAACATCTCATTTTTTGACGTTTTTTTGACGTCAAAAATAAGACCAATTACAATATTAAATATAATAACACATTAATGTGTAATATACAGGGTGTCTCATAATTCGCGGATCACCCGCCATGTGCAGGTAGAGCACATGAAACCGAGAAGAAAAGTCCTTTACCATTTTGCGATTTTCTTAATAATTATTAAGAAATAAATTTAAAAAGATGGGCCAATCACAAGCGCGCGGCGAGAAGAGACTTCCTACTCAGGCGTTGCTAGGTGCGCGGTAAAGCGGTGGGAGGGGCGCTGTATACGGCTACGTACGAGCGAACGCTGAAGCCACGCATCTCGAACTATTCTCTCTCTCTCTCTCTCTCACTCTCTCTTTCTCTTTCTCGCGCGCGCGGCATAGGAAGCAGAGTTGGGCAAAAATCTAATTAACAATTACAAATTTCAACAATTACATTGTTTGCAATAATTAACAATGTAATTGTTTGCAATAATTAACGATTATAAAATGTAATTATTAATTGCATTAACGAAAATCGCAAAATGGTAAAGGACTTTTCTTCTCGGTTTCATGTGCTCTACCTGCACATGGCGGGTGATCCGCGAATTATGGGACAACCTGTATATAGATAAATCTAAATAATTAAATTTATGAAATTAAAGATTTTATTTATACGGAAGTTAATTTCTAATTTTATATTTTAAGTAGACAATAATGAACGACTTTCACTTATTCGGACACTTTATGTTCCATCGGGCATTTATCTGTGCGATTTTTCAAGAATCAGTTTAATATCTGAATTTTCCTATATGGAGATCATATCAGAAATTAAACTGATAGAAATAGTTGTTATTAGTCGCCTTTTGCAGGCTTTATATACACTCCATGACAAAAACTTAAATACCAGTATATAGAATGAGTATATAGTTCGCCGCATAGCGGTAAGTGTGAACTATAAACCCGCGGCAGTCAATCACTAGCGGTTTTTCCGTCAAAGCATAATGTTCATTAAGGACTAATTAATACCGGTTATTGTACATAACTGTACGCTCAGCAGGTGGTAAAACAGAACAGACATACAGTATGCTATCTCTTTTTCTCTTCAGGTATAGCCATAAACATCGTCAATCTCCAGAATCATATGATATATTGACAGAAATTTAATCTTGACGATACAAAGTGAATATTTAGTGTATGACCACAAATATGTTTTATGAAATTATTTTTCCAACAACAGAATTTGTGTT